CATGCCTTGGGTCACATCCTCCGAGGGATGTTCATCTCCAGGCCTAGTACGCAGAAACTTCTTCCCTCCTGGGACCTACCGCAGGTACTGAGGAAGCTTTCACGTCCTCCTTATGAATAAGCCTGTTAAGGGTACCCGGGTACCCGCCCCGGAGGCCAAGAACCGGTTTCATTTTATCGGGTCAGGTACCCGTTACCGAATTTATAAATTTCGACGCAACGTCCATGACCAAAAAAACCCACAAGTACATGCATTCAAATATCACTAACAGAAGATTTACAAAGTTCAGAGTGAGTTTACTGACCATTCCAAAACTCCATTTTGCGGTTTATATTTTGTTTTCAGTTTTATTTAGACTATCTTTGATGCGTCTCCAGAAGCCCTAAAGGGGCGAAACACGATCGTATCAACCCATTGTTTGTGTTTGTAATAAAGCTTCTTGTAGCCGCTAGCTAGGAAATCATCGTCTTTGATACGCCGCAGATGACGGGTTGAACCCGTTACAAGTCCATAACCTAAGATTTACAAAGTTCAAAGTGAGTTACCGACCATTCACTGAAAACTCCATCTTGCGGTTTTTAGTTTGTATTTAGTTTTGTTGACTATCTTTGAAGTTTGAATTGATGTGTCTCCAGAAGCACGAAAGTTGACCCATCATGTTTTTAATAAGTTTCTCGTAGTGGGCCGCCAGGAAATGATCTTCTTTGATGCACCGCAGATGGAGGAATAAACAAAGTGAATTGCGTTTTAATGGACCAATCCAGTAAGCCCCTCCCACTGCGCACGTAGGCAATTTAACACGTGCTCCTCTCCAATGCCGGTGTCACGGTCTCACTTCTCCGGCGTGCTAGCTTCTCTGGGTGGATTCGGCGGATAATTGAGCACGTTACAGTGCAAGTTACATGAGTGCGATTCATGCTCATGTGTCCGCTGTGCTTACTTTTCCTCGGGCTGAATTCTGAAGTCTACCAAGCCATTAATAGCACAGTGAGGGACACCCAAGAATGTGTTATGAAACACTTCCTGCGGGTCAAGTCATTCCATGGTCTTGCAAGAATTCTGATTTGTGTTCCCATGCAGCGTCATGCATGTTGTGTGTGTGTGTGTGTGTGTTCATGGAGGAATAATTAAGAACGAACTCCGTGTTGAAGCAAAATTTCCCTTTCGGAGAAGCTAGCACGCCGGAGAAGTGAGACCGTGACACCACACTGCATTTTCCTGCCGTGCGCATCATACGCGTGTGCACGCATGTCGGACTTTTGTGCACGCAATGTCGGACATAAATCACGGCTGTGATTGGTCAGAATACAATGGGGAGGTGCTTACTGGATTGGTCCATTGCAGTCACGCACAATAAAAAAAAGATGACAACATGTAAGGCCAAACAAAAAAATAAGTCGGTCTCTGGTTAGCGCGCGCGTCGATTTTAATCATGCGCGTCGATCTTTTTTTTTCCCAAAATTTTCCGCGGTAGCTCCAACAGCGCCCCTATTTCCGCACCTGCTCATTTTTTTTTTACCAAAGAGCACCAAGGAATGGGAAATTGCACCAAGGCAAATGATCGAAAGCACCAAGGCAATTTATGGAGGACACCAATGTACACGAGGACACCAAAAAAGCAAAATAGTACCCCACCTTGTCTGTACAATCCAAGCTTGAAGAAAAAAAAAGAAAGAAAAAAAGCCGCGTGGCCACGTCAATTCCGGAACTTTGGTCTGACCAGAGACCGAATATATTTTTTTTTGGCCTAAGCCCAAGTTACTTTGCTGTGTCTGTGTGATTATTTCTTGCCCCTGACATTCCCTGTCTCATAACCTTGCTGTCCAACCCGATTTTTTCTGATGTACGATGTCTCAAAGCCTGAGAAAGTTTTAAGGGCATTTAATATAATTTCCTATGATCGAACAAAGTGCAGATAAAAAAATATACCTTTAACAACAAATGATATAATAAAAAAAATAACCGCGCGCCAATATTTTCTGCGGAACTATTATTATTATTATTATTATTATTAATCATTTCTGGTAATGAAACCAAGGATTCCTCAAAAGCGCCCAAGGCACTGTAGCTCGCAAGCCTGAAGAAACCTGTAGAGAGAAGACAATCACAACGCACGTAAGAAGTGCAACTTGACTAGCGATTAGCGTAGTACAGCACGCATGCACCGGGTCCCTATGATAAAGCACGACACCATTTGTGCACGTACTTCATCAACCACGGCTTCAACTTACCGTGTACTGACTGCCATGCCGGTCGTCGTATGCATGTCTAGCCGAGTAAGCCGACCACGCTGCGCGCGCTGCATGCATGCTACAACCAGCGCTGCAGTCAGTGTGGGCCACCTGGGCTGAGGTGACGGCCGGATGGACTCACTGAAGAATACACAGTGGGGAACTCTTGGAAGTTCGCTGACTTTGTCATCGATGTCTTTAAACTCTTTATTAATCACCTTACGTTTCTTTTATTTCATAAACTCAGGTGCTGTATATAATAGACATTGAATTTGCAATTCCTTTTTTTTTTTACTGACAAATCGATCATTTGCAAATCGGTATACCTGCACAGAAAGCATTAATATAGAACACAATGGGGTGTTTAGAAATGAAAGCACTTACTTCCGGGTTGGCATTATAAATGAACACACTTTCGTCCGTTTTTTTTTTTGGGGGGGGGCTTTTACGGGTACCTGACCTTGACCTGGAAAGGGTACCCGGTTCCAGTCAAAATCGTAAACACACAGGCCTACTTATGAACCTATAGGACAGGCGTCTCTTCTCAACTTGTCGGTCAAATTCGCCTTCCTGCTAGCAGTCGCCACATCGCGACACCGAAGCAAACTACAGGCCTTATCACTGCAGCCTTCCCATATTTGCTGGGAACCTCATGGAGTGAGGTTGGTTCCCCACACTTCATTCCTAACCAAGAACATATCTGACTCCATTTCTCCTCCTGATATCTTCATCCGGGACATTAAATTTCACTCATCAGTCCCGGAAGACAGAAGATGGTGCCCAGTTCGTGCCTTGAAATGGTATATCAACAGAACAGAACTGATCAGGGGAGATACAACGAACCTATTCATTACAACAGTTCATCCACACCGACCAGCTTCCCGAGAGACAATCGCACACTGGATCGTGACTGCCATCCAGTCCGCTGAGCAGAACTGGCCAACTAGATCAGAACAGGTTCCTGGAATTAAAGCGCATGCCTGGAAATGCGTAAAAATAATCCATTCTTAATGTTAATAATAAGTATCAGCTCGCTCTAAAAAAAAAAAAAAAGAAGGTTGTCTTGGCTTGAGGTAATGACTCCATTATGCATGAAGTTTTTTCAGATATTGCAGTCGTTTTTGATACAAAACAAAATTGAAGTCTCAACTCGCATTTTTCCAGATACGTGGCATGCTCATTGCACACTGATATACCATGCGCATAGCGCATGCAGGTTGCCTCATTAGTCTTAAAGACACTATTAGGTTTATTTTGTTGTCGCAATTCGTAGCCGACACTCGTGCCGTGTATTAAGACAAAATGAACCTGGTATCCTGCTCCATTTGCATGGTGCACTGATTTTAGGCATGCTTTAAGTCTAACTTCACTGGTCCCCGTGCATTTGGTGCTCCGATGGACGTATGTACAACACATGGTACATTGTACATGTACCGGATGCATCCTGTACCCGTACGGTACGGCAAAGGGTTTACGAATCGGAATGCAGAAAGTTCAATTGGCAAGTCCAATGAGCTTTTATTTTCTATTTTCTATCTTTTTAATTGAAAAAAAGTGAATTCGATTAACAAAAATGTCAATAAATTAATAAAACCCACCCACCCACATTTTCGCCAAAAAATACCAAACGAACTTTAAAAACATCTCAAATTTTGAATGGCCCCTTGAATACCGCTAAATAGTGTATAAACAAGTGCTCTGAAAAGTAACTTAACTTTGTTGTTCGGAAGTCATGGCTTCTATGTCACTGAACAGCGATGTCATTCTTGGACTTGTGTGGACAATGTGTATAGGACTGACAAAAATTACGACAGAAATATTTGGAATAATGTGATTAGAATATTAAGGACATCATCCTTTTTGATTTACTGTAATAGTAGACAAGCCATGAGAGCGACAGATTTGCAATAACATTGTCAATACAAAATAACAATCTTACATTTCTACACTGATTCAGGCGCGAAAAGGGGCATCTTTGCACACATTAAATGACCTCCCTTCCGTTGTAAATGGGGTCTCAAAGCAGGATAGGGATCAAGTGTAAATGCGGCACAGTTTATTTGCAGTTAGTTTCCCGGCACCTGATTTCATCAAACTCTTCGTAACTTACGATGCATCGCAGCGCTGCGACGCATCGTATCCCTACGACGCGTCGTAGCTGTGACGTGTCCTGCGATCCATTTCACAAAACACGTCGTAAGTGCGACGCGTCGTATATGTATTTATAGCACAATTCGGTGACTGTTTATGTATTAAGTCAGCATACAGTAAATAGTCGTTTGGTATTCAACAAAGAGTCGCCGGATCTCCGCCCGAGATTTGTTAAAACGTCGGACAAAATTGCAGCCGTGCGATGCAGTTTTAAAGGAAAACGAGCTCTCAGTGGACTGTATAGCTACTTTCAAATTTCAACTGCAATATTCCAGGCTAATTCATAATTATTCAGTGAATTTCTATTTACAACTTGCGACGTGTTTTAAGCTGTTGTCAAGGAACTTATGAAGCGTTCAACACATCGCAACTTTCGTGAAATGGATTATACGACGCGTCACGAGTTGCGACGTGTTAAATGTCGTAACTCAAGTTGCGACGCATCGCAGTGCTTCGTGGAATTGGATGCTGTGGTTTTATTGCGACCACAGGATCTGATCCCCCTTTGCCGGATCGAGTATAAACGCTGTGACTGAATTTGAGAGGGATTTGTGTGTATATTTTGTTTGTTATATTTGTGAAATAATAAATGTAAGTTTTCATAAATCCCTTGTACAGGTTGTTGGAGATGTGGACAGTACATTGCCAGGGGTACTGGATGAGCTTGGAATTCATCTTACCAAGGACGAGATGAAGATGAATATCAAACCACTACTCAAACTTGTCTGCAAGAAATTCTTTGGTGATTTTACAGGTCAGATATGTCTTTACTCTTTAACCCTGACATACCTGAGTCCAAACTGGACACCCAGGTAGGTCAGCGTGCTTATGGTTCCCATATGTCTTAGTCGTTTTCAGGAGACCAGTGTGCAGTCTGTAAACGCAACCGAAATCGTATTTGATATATATTTAGTAGATTTCCAAAATTCACAATTATATTGGGAAGACTAAAAATGTGTAATTATTGCGAAGTTCACATGGGTACTCGTTGATTCACGGTGGCTGGTACCGGTATGATGAGATATTGTAAAATTTCAAGCGTAGTGGGTCAGCGTGTCTGTATTAATGCACATTCTGGTTCACACAGGGTTATGGTGCAGGCCATTTGTGTGCAATTGAAATTGGCAAATCGCAAAGTCAATGGATCTGATGCTTGGTCATAATACAAGCCAATTTTAGCAATTTAATTTTTGAACCAGACAAATTCAGTACATTTCATTGTTTTTTCAGTACAAACTTTTCAGCAAAAGCTGTCTTTTTTAAATCTCTTTTTTTTACCTATCCAAAAATCACATTTGAGAACCTCTGTGAGTCAAACAGTTATGTTCCTTCAAAGTGGCGCACCCAGGATTTGTCCTGGGGGGGGGGGTGGGTCACACATTTTTTTCCTCAAATTTTGGGGAAGTTTTTTTTTTGGGGGGGGGGGGAGGTTAGACTATTTTGACTATTAGACTAGTATACTAATAAAAAAAAGGCCACATATCACCAAGGTCAAATCGTGGGACTAACAAAAAATTTGGATGCGCCACTGTTCCTTCAAAGTTTGGCCTTCTAAATCAATCGGTCGCTGCACACTGGACATCTTAGGCATAATTCATGTAGCATGAAAATTACAATTGCACTCTTGTGATGGATGCAAAATAACTTACCTTCGCAAGAGTAATGCCGATCTGTCAAATTGCATTTTGCATGATCCTACATGTAAGCAACTGGAACAAACCGTGTTGGCCAGCAATCTTTTTAAAAGACACATAAAATAAAATGCCATGACTCTCTTCCTCCACTTTTCTCTTGGCGCATGCTTACAAAAGACATGATTTTGTGTTCTCCCTTTTTGCTCTTGTCAGTTTGCCATACACCTCTGGTCCTTGTCACCACTGGTCCACTAGTCAGCTCAATACATAAAATGTAGTATGCATTTTTCATTCCACAATATGCAAATTGTTGTTGTCACACACCCTCAGCATATTTACTCTGTTTGGAAACATTTTGTTCGCGGGAAGTTTGTATGAATTATTAGGACGGAAACAAATTGGTGTATGGACATTACATTCAGAACCTACTGACCACATTGAATTACTTGCAAGTGAAATCAAATTTTATATAATCATACAAGTACAACTCCAGCTTAGGTCTTAATATATAACATCACATGGTTGCTGTAGTGCTCATAGCTGATATAATAAATGAGATATAAGCACCGTAAATGACCGTTATGGACATTATACATTCTGTCATAGGTTTTGACTTTCAGTACACATTGATAAAAGTCTGTCATTATCTAGATCCCCTTATGAACCGGGCAGTTCTGCTCATCTCCTTCAGCTCACTATAAAAAAAAAATTCTTTTGGCTGCAGCAAAGGAATGGCCCTGAGGGACAAGTCCACATCATCGTTGTTTACATGTGTTTTAAGGGGAAATGACTTGCTTCCCCCAATAGTTGGACCTATTGGGGCAACCCTTCAGACTTTTTCTGCAATAGCGGAAGTTTACAGCTCTCCAAGTTGGTTTTTAGCATCTTTATGGTCACCGCAAGGCTTGCAAATGCTGAAGGGGCCCACTCTTTACAACTACAAAAAAACCCCAGAAAGTCACGTTTATGTGTTCTGACGAATGGCTTGTGGTCAGTCGGTCAAAGAAGAAAGTCGGGCAAGTGTTCCATACCACCTTCGATTTCTCAATTGGACTCAATTGGATTTCTCATCAACAAAGCAAGGTCAAATCCAATCCACAAGTAATGGCAAGTATGAGGGACCAACAGCCGATTTCATGAACAGTATGTAACTTACAGCATGCGTAGGACGTAATCAACAAGTCTACTTCACTCTACTTACCTGTAGAGCAACACTACTTATGCATATTCCCCCTACCGGCAGGTATTTTCGCTAAGAGTTATATACAATAGCGCCCTCTGGCGCCCTACCCATAACACCCCGCGGCATGCGTGCCTCGTGAGCATCCTCTTTTCTCTTAGCGGCAGGTCGGGTAGGACGTGCGTGAAATAGCTCGCTGTTTGCCTCGTCATTTACTACCCTTTTTTGCGTTTAAGAGAAGTATTTAATAAAAGAGTTAGTAATCATTAGTTTGTAGAGTTTCATCATCTTCTTGGTTTCATTTATTTCATAAATATGAAGCGTTTGGGGAGGGCCGATCTGTCACTAACCGGAGGGAATAGTTCTCCCACGGGACGGACCGAGTTCTCGGGGGACTCTGCCGTTAACGCTCCGTCGTTACCGCGGCAGCAGTCTCTCGTCCGGCACCCTCAGCCACAGTCGGCTGGGGGAGTTGGCAGTTCCGCCGATCAGTTAAGGGGACCTCGGTCACCTTCTCCGGTCAACTCGGGCGGAACACCCAAACTAAAGGCACACTCCGGCAAGGTTCCCCTAAAACATATCTCCTGTGCCGGAGCAAAGCCTAAGAAGGGCCGTCAGGGCAAGCGTGGCTCGGCAACGAGCGCCGCTTTGGCACCTAGCCCTCCCCCGATCACGGGGCAGCCCGAGGGGACTAGCCGTCACACTTCGGTGGGCTCTAGTCACCCGTGCCCTCCCGACACGGTGCCGAACACCACTGGTTGTCGGGATGGGCTATTGCACGGGCTACCGGTCCGTCCAGCGCTCGCTCAGCCCACGGGGCCTGAGGCGCTGTCGGCCGGGTGCATTATGAGCGATACGGAGCCGGTCACCCCGGGGGATCCCGGGCCGACTGCCCCCGTGCTAGAGGGACTACTCTCGTCATTGGATTTTTTCCGTTGTTCGGGGGTCCCGGTGCCCCAGGTGTCTTCCGATTTCTCCTCGGACACACCTTGGGGCCGTTCTTCTAAAAAGAAGAATAAGAAGAAGAAGGCTGCACGTCGATCGCACCGTTCTTCTTCGGGTTCTGACAACTCCTCTGATTGGTCCCGCCGGGGCAAACGCTCCCGGGGGAGGACGCGGTTTCTAGAGCAGATTTCCTGCAGGCTTTTGAGTCGATTCCGATACGCTATCGGCTATGTCGGCAGGCCGCCGGGCGGGCCCTATTGGGGGGCCCCCTGCAGCGGTGGACTACGGCCCACAACCATCGGTCGTTGGGCCCGCATCGCAGTCTTCAGTCACCGGTCACGCTTGGGTGACCCGTGAACAAAGGGACTTACCGCACAGTTAGCCGTGCTCCTGGAGTCTTTATCTGCAGTGAATGCTTCATAGTCGTCATTCATTGGTCACGATTGCGTGGCCCAAGCGCAACGAGGTACATGTACAAAAATGAAAAAACGCATGTTCATACATGTACATGTATACCACACATGGTTGCGCGCCATACCGGAAGCCCGGCCTACGGCGAACAGGACTTCACATTCGCCGGCTGTGGACCGCAGTCGCGTGGTCCGGAGACAACGGGACCTACCGCACACAGTTAGCCGTGCGCCAGGATTCCCGCTTGTGTTTAGTCTTCTCCATCTGCATAATATTATGTATATTATCTCCGAGGGTGTTGCCCAGCCACCACCGCGTGGTTCTGTACAACTAGCCCCTCCAGACGGCTCTCAGTCATCGGGGTCATTTTGGCCTTCGCATTCGGCTGATTCATCCGATAATGACGGAGAATCAGACCGGTTACAATGGCTGTCCATCGCGGAAACGAAATTCCGTTTGCTGCAGAGGGACATTACACGGGTACTTATTTAATTACCCTCCGCCGATGAGCCCCCTCCGCCCGATCACAAAAATTTTCAAATCAAGCGCAGGACGGGCTCCATATCTAACAAGGACAAGGTGTTCCCCATACCTCCGTTGGATCAAATGTGAAACACATCGACAGCGGACAAAGTGGTGTCCATTTCTCAGGCGGGAACGTCTTTATTATTTTTTCTAATCCGGGCGAGTTTATTGCACCGATCCCACCGCGGCATACGCTACCGGGGTGAGGACTCGGTTTTTCGGCCCACTCATTACAAGCCTTGCAATTGTTCTCGGCTTTATTATCGGTCATACATGTACAATGTACACTGTATACGTTTTATACACGTACATGTACAATGTATTGCCAGGCGGGCACGTTAATGAAACGTCCGTCTTCGTTCAGTTGCGAGCTGTGATCTCTGTAACCCTCTACATTAATCACGGTTGGGTGACTCAAGGACAATGGGCCACGCCGCGCTGTGCTTAGCCGTGCGGCGGTGTTTCTTGCTGTACTGAGATCGCTAATTTTTCATGTACATTGTACATGTGTGCATTACTTGTGTATGTACACTGTCCATTGTCTCCGAGGGAGTTGTTCAACAGCTGACTGTGGCCGTGTGCAACTCGTCCCTTCAGATGTGTTTTACGGTTCTCGTTTACGGGGTCTATTCGACTCTTGCAGGCATGTTGTGGACCACATTCGAAAGATTGTGCCTTTATTCAAACTGCCTGCTGCTCTTCAAGCAATTATGTGATCATTACCGTTTTCCGTTAGCGAAATTCGGTATTTTTGTTGTTGTTGTCACATCTTCCCTCTTCAATGCAGCTAAGTAAAAAACAAGCTGCCAGCAGTAGAGGGACCCCATTATTCAAGCAGCTCTTCGTAAATAATACTCGCAGAAGCTTGCATACACTTTGCAGTAGAATAATAAAGTGGGTTCGGCGATACGCGTTCAGCCTCCCTCTTTACCCTCATGAAGTACATTAGGTTTAATGTTTTAATCTTGACTCGACAGTCTTAGCGGACGTGTTGACTGCTATTTTCATTATCAATTTCACAGTCTGCACTCAGTATTCTATAATTTTACACGAGTGCAG